GCATATTATACAGAAAAGAGTATATAAACTATAATCATTGTCCGAAGTGCAAGGTGTCTCACTACAAAAAGAAAGATGGTCAATCAACTGATGATGAAGTGGTCAAAAAGGGTCCTCCTGCGAAAGTGGCATGGTACCTACCAATAATTTCAAGGTTCAAGAGATTATTCTCCAATGCAGATGACGTAAAGAATCTTAGATGGCATTCAGAAGAAAGAAAATATGATGGACAAATTCGTCATGTAGCTGATTCTTTGCAATGGAAGAAAATAGATTATTTGTTTCCAAATTTTGGCAAACAGTCGAGAAACCTTAGACTTGGACTTGCTATTGATGGAATGAATCTGTTTGGTAATCTGAGTACTAATCATAGTTCTTGGCCTGTTCTCCTGATGATTTACAACCTATCTCCTAGGATGTGCATGAAGCGTAAATATATTATGTTATCAATCATGATATCGGGCCCAAAACAACCAGGAAATAACATAAACGTTTATCTAAGTCCACTGATTGATGATTTAAGAGTGTTGTGGGAGGAAGGGGTGGATGTTTTTTATGCGTATTCTGGCGAACAGTTCAATATGCGTGCCATGTTATTTTGCACCATCAACGATTTTCTGGCATATGGTAATTTGTCTGGGTATAAAGTTAAAGGGCATAAGGCGTGTCCTATATGTGAAAAAGACACATGTTACCATCAGCTTGAAAAAGGAAATAAGACCGTTTATCTTGGGCATCGAAAATTTCTAAAACATTATCATCCATATCATAGATTACGGAAAGCTTTCAATGGGGAACAAGAGCATGGTGTTGCTCCAAAGTCCTTGTCTGGAGAGGAAGTTTATCAGCGACAACAGGGACTTGATGTTGTCTTTGGAAAGTACCAAAAACGATCTACTGTGAAAAATGTATGGAAAAAGAGATCGATTTTCTTCGATCTTCCATATTGGTCTAGTCTTGATGTAAGACATTGTATTGATGTGATGCACGTGGAGAAAAATGTATGTGATAGTGTAATCGGAACACTTCTCAATATTCAAGGCAAGACAAAAGATGGTATTAATGCTCGTCTGGATTTGGGTTTGATGGGTATACGAGAAGATTTAACTCCACAATATATAAGTAACAAGACATATTTGCCTCTTGCCTGCTACACTATGTCTAAAAAAGAGAAAACAAGTTTTTGTGAGTGTTTACAAAGTATCAAAGTGCCGCATGGTTACTCATCAAATGTCAAGAGGCTTGTATCAGTTAAAGATCTTAAATTAGTTGGCTTAAAATCTCACGAATGTCATGTCTTAATGCAACAACTACTACCATTGGCTATTCGTGGGATATTTCCTAACAACGTTAGGAAGACTATAACTAGGTTGTACTTATTTTTCAATGTAATTTGTTGTAAAGCCATTGATCCACTAAAGGTTATTATTGAGTTTAGTTATGTGATGTTTATCTTTCTGTATTATAGTTCTTTTGGGATTCATCAAATGGAAAATGGAAATAGAAAAAAGGCTACACGGCTTTATCCCAATGTAAGTGATGTAAATTGTAATTCTATAGTTAAATTTATGATAAATATTCACTAATTATGTCAGTCAATTGTAGACAAGGCAACAACATAACTCTAATGATTGTGGGTATTATGTGATGAAAAATATGTTGGATATTGTCTCTGCCAATATAACCGAGAATTGGATGCAGGTAATAAAAATAACTTTACGTTGTTATTTATTTTTTGTTTTGCAACTTAATATGAATTTTTTAAAGAATAACTTTATATTGTTATATTTATGAATTATAGGTATTTGATGACCCAACAAAATTAACACAAGATGATTTGTATGATTTGCGGCTCCGTTGGAAAAAATGTTTCTTTGAGTTATATAAAATTTAAGTTTTATCTGGTGAGTTTTATAGAATTGTCTAAGTTGTGGTTTTTGGACATAATTGTTATTATTGAGTTTTTTCACATTACATGTGGTTTTTGCACATGTATTGAGTTTCTTGATATTTTTTTCTGATGTTAATTGTTATTATTTATTGTCAGGCAATGTGATTTTGGTGTTGTCTACCGAAGCTATAACTCATTTACTTGTGGATTTTATATTGATAATTCAAGTTTGGAAAAAGACTTATAAATAGTTGAATATTTTTGTATGTTTTGTGAAGAATATATATTTGTAAGTTTGTTGTGAGTTTGTTTGTTGTAATACAATTCAAGTTTGCAATACAATTGTTCATTTTGTAAGTTTGTTGTGAAAAATATGAAAATATCGACCTAGATGTGGTCTATGTGATTTTGGAAAGCTATGATATATATATATATATATATATATATATATATATATATATATATATATATATATATATATATATATATATATATATATATATATATATATATATATATATATATATATATATATATATATATATATATATATATATATATATATATATATATATATATATATATATATCGACCTAAATTTAGTCTGTATGATATTGGAAAAATATGAAAAAATGGATACCAATTTTAATTTTACAGGGAATCATCCAGAAAATAAATAATTTATTCAAAAAAATTGCTTACATTTTACATTGGACATTAATAGCAACCGATGTAAAAACTATCAACGCTGACTCTTTTACATCGGACGTTCCTCCCAATCGATGTAAAAAAGATGTATTTGACATCGGTCTAACTTGAGACCGATGTAAAATGTTGCGTCAATTTTTTTTAAAATAATTTTATACTTGTTTTTTATATCAGGCTTAGCTTATAACGGATGTGATAATTGTCTTTTTTACATTAGACCCAGAACCGATGTAAAAAGTCTCTGATTTACTATATCGTCTGACTTTACATCAGATCCAGAATTGATGTAAAATGTCATTTTCGCCCGATATAAAAAGTCATTTATGTACTAGTGAAATGTGATAATGACATAGTAGAGCAATAAATAGGCACAAAGAATGTGACATGAATGAAATAAAAACACTAAATATAATGACGAAGGGTTGAGAGGCATATTACATTTTCTTTAACACGAAAATAATGTGTCTGAAGTGCAATGAACACTTGATTTCTATTCGAAACTCGAATTACGTACTTTTGAGAGGGTTTTCATATATAGATTAATATAAGTATTGTTCATGGACATAACATGTGCTTCACTTTCAGTCTTTACAATTTTATTATCACATTTTTTTGCTTGAACTTATTTTTCTAATGTATTTCTTATATGGTTGTTGTAGTTTCGACTTTTTCTTACACATTGTTACTTTTTCATCCACATCCATTTCTAATAAAATCTTTATTTTTTTTCTTTGATGGTGTATTTTTCAATGAATAAAGTCATTTTTATTTGAATATCTTTCATTTTAATATCATTAATATTTTCGTCACTAGATTCAAATGGAATCTCCAAAACTAGTGTCTATTGGTGCTGATTTGTGGCAACGATCTTTTTAAATATAAGTTTAAACTCAACAAATTTTTAGTCATTGATATTTGAATTTTGCATATTCCACGTTCTCTTGCATAACTAGTAAGGGATAAAATATTTAGACAAATCCTTCTTTTATTTAATTTTGACTAAATACAAATTTAAATATTTGTAATGTTCACTTTTATGTTAGATCCCACCATGTAAGATCAACTTAAATACTTCATATTTGAGGATTTCATTCCATGTATCTTTTCTTACTTGCTAAGTAGTCCATTTGACTCTCAAATTATTTTTTAAAATAAATTTTGGGTGTATTTTATCAGCACCTTTATTGAATGTTTTATGTATATCTTTAAATTTTTTCATTTTTAAAAAAAAAATATTGATTTTTCACGTTTTCCATTCTCATCCACAAAAATTTTCAAAATTTTCATAAAATAATATCATTTTATAAATATTCTTAAAAATATCATTTATGTAACAATGGCATTTGTAATTAATTTATATAAATATGACCAAAGCATTATAAATATGATACTTTTAATAAATATAATATTAATAAATAATATTTTACTAAATAGGGAATGAGATTCAAACAACAATCTAAAAACATTTAATTATAATATTAATAATTTTTTTTGGACAACTCATATAAATTTGTCGGTCAATGTTCTTAAATCCTTCTAAATTTAATATAATATCTAATAAAAAAATATGTAATTCAACCATCCAGATATTTCTTATGCATTTCAGTCTTTATTCTTCTAAATTAAATATAATATCTAATAAAAAATATGTAATTCAACCATCCAGATATTTCTTATGCATTTCAGTCTTTTAAATAAAGACTAATAATGTAGCAATAAAATGATATGTGAATGACTAAAATACTATATGTTTTTTTTAATTTTAAATAAAGACTAAGTTTGAAATGTTTCAATTTTGTAGAAATAAAAATATACTTAACTAATATTTTAACTATTACTTTCACTAATTTTTCAGAAATTTTGTTTATTTCTTCAAATCGAAATATATCATTCTAGTCAAACTACAATAATTATTTATTCATAAAATAAATGGAATCAATATAAGTAAATATGTTTTTTCAGACATAAAAATGATACAAATTCAAATTTTAAATAAAATAATAAAATAATAAAATAATTAAACTAAGACTGATGATGTATAACAAATAAATAATTAAAATAAAAAAGATAAAAAATACGTGACACTTACAGAGAAATTAAAAAAAAACGAAAAAAATAAGAATGGAGGAGCATAATATATGTGAATATCTTAATATTAATAAAGTTGAATAAAAATTAAAGAAAAAATAAAAATCCAAAAGCATTTAGGGCAATTTTTTCAAAATAAAATTAGAGTAAAACAATTTTTTATAAATTAAAAAGTAAAGTATCTTAAATTTTATATTAGAAACATTGAACGTGTTCTCTATAATTTATATATAAATAGGACCTAAGAGTAACATATGCACACAGCCTTTACAACTGCTTCTCATTTTGAGAATTCTTATTGTCTGTTGAAATTATGGGTCGTCGCAAAATTGAGATCGAGATGGTGAAAGATCCCAACACAAGACAAGTTACATTTTCAAAACGGAGAACCGGTTTATTCAAGAAGGCAAATGAATTGTCACTTTTGTGCAAAGCAGAAGTGGCCATTGTTGTATTTTCTCCAGGTAATAAGCCTTACTCTTTTGGTCATCCAGGAGTTGATATTGTTGCTGAAAAATATCTCCAACAAGGGTCTACATCAAGTGACTCTCAAGAAAACTCCTCTATTGATGCTCCTAATATGGAGAAATTGGAGAAATTGAATCAAGAACTTGTTGAAGTTTTGGCAGAAATTGATGAAGCTGAAAAGGAAGCTAAGAGTCAGGATCAGATTCTAAAAGAAAAGGATGAGAAAAATCTTATCGAGCTTAAAGAATTGAGAGATTCATATAATGAGTTTCTAGAATCTGTAAAATTACGTCTTAGTGATATTGAGATATCACAATACATGATGCTTCTCGCAAAGGATCCTGTGGTAGGAGTAAAAGCAAAATCTGCAAAAAAGAAAAAAGGATCTAAAAATTAATTTTAGTTTAGGTTCCATTTGTCTCTCTTTTTTATTTGTGTTGGATCCTTGTGGTGTTATGTGTGGGTGTTAGATTTTGAGAGCTTTCTATCTAATAAAAATAAACTTTTTTTAAGGATTGTTTGGAAATATTATAAATTATCATAGATTTTAAACTTCATATCATATCACATTATATTGATTTATAAAATGAAATATCAAATATTAAGGAAAAAGAGGTCTGTCTAAATATTAATGTTGAGTTCAGAAAATATTTGTTATCAGGGAGAATTTTGCTACTTATTTTAGTTATACATGATTTGAGAAAATAGTCTTATGTACTATCTTTATCTTTTATTGGATCCTATCTTTTTATTCGATTAATACAATTATTTTTTTCAATTATTTTTCTAGCTCACTTAACGGCAAGGCTTCCCATATCTCAAATACTATACTTAATTATTCCATCATAAATCAATATAGTTATTTATTTTTTTTAGGGATAGGTTTTTTTTTTATAACATATATATATATATATATATATATATATATATATATATATATATATATATATATATATATATATATATATATATATATATATATATATATATATATATATATATATATATATATATATATATATATATATATATATATATATAGTTCACTTAAGGGCAAGGCTTCCTATGTCTCAAGTAATGCGCTTAATTATTCCATCCTAAATCAACATATAAAATTAATATCTATGTAAGAAACGAGAATAATTGAACATAACTATTAAATTTTGATCTATTGAATTTAATAGACAAGATTAATTTCTTTTTTGATGGTTTTCTATCTTTATATCTTATTTAATAGTCTATGTCAATATTTAATTCATGTTATATTTTAAGAAAATATAAGTTTATTTCATTTTAAGAAGAATGATAATCAATTAAATTATTTTTATAGATTTATTAACATAAATTTAATTTCATTGAAAGTGTTTTTTTGTTATTTTTTATTAATATAAAAATATTTATAATTATTTTATCAAAAAGTAGAAATTAATCCATCAATTAAAACGTATAAAATATTTTTTTTAGATTAATATATAATTATATTACCGTTTTTAAAATATATATTCATTGTTATTTTTTATTCAATGATAGTAAATATAATTCAATCGATTATTATTATTTTTAAGATGCAACAAATATTTTTGATTAAATTAACTTTATATATTTGTAACATAAAATAAATTTTATATGTAGTATTTTGTTATTTTATAATTAATATATAATTTTGTATTATCATTCTATAAAAACAATAAACATCTTAATAAAACCATTATAATTTTATATGTAGTCTTTTATTATTTTATAATTAAAATATAATTTTGTATTTTATCATTGGATAAAAACAATAAACATCTTAATTAAAACCATTAATATAATTCTATATTAATTCTGAAAAATATTTTCTACTACTATACATCGTAGTATTCTAACAAAAAAATAATACACATTTATATTAATCAAAATCATAATGTAATTCTATAATAATGAAAAAATTAATATAATTATATAATAATCAAAATATTTAATAATATTGTATATTCTTAATATATAGTTATGTGAATAATTTTGAATAAAATTTAGTTATATTAATTTATTAATTTTTATTTTTTTATACAATAACAATAAATATTTGAATATCAATTAAAAAACTAAAACACTATTGATAAAAATAATTTATGTTGAATAATCCATAAAAAATAATATAATTATTTATCATAATTCTTAAAATACAACAAATGTATTTATTTTTCAAATATAATGTGAGTTAAATATTTATTGTTTAGATAATTTTAATTTTAAATAAAATACAAAATACATTTGAAATTATATTTTATGATAATATCTTAATTAAAATTAAATAATTAAATATGTTTAACACGAATATTTTAATAATATTTTAATAACAATTTAATAATCCTAATAAAAATATTTTCAGTAACAATAATTTTTATGAAAGTTTTAAATATTAAGTATAATAGAAAAAATTTAATAAAATATTTTTTATATAAAAATTTTAAATTAATTAAATTGGATAATTATTAACAATGATTTTCATTTCTCATGATATATATCATTTTATCGGATATATATATAGTAGTTTAATATTTTTTTAACTATTAATTATGTGTTATTTTTTTACTCTTTTTTAAGATTGGATCCAAATGAAAAAGATGCTTATGAATCAAGTAGTTTGAAAGAAAGACATATTTTAGAAACACGACAGGTTTTTTTGTATAAGTCTCAGGGCATCTTAATTTATTTTATTTGTTATTCGTGATTAATATTTTTTAACAAAATATTATGTATTTTTTCTAATAAGTGAATGGTTGCCACTACAGTCGGACGAAGAATTAAAGTCTAAAATTTGCCAACTTTTTGATACACTAGAAGATGGTGAGAACTTTTACAAAGAATGTGCTCACAATGTTGGAATGTAGAGGGATTTATAAAATTGTTTAAGAAATTTAAAGATATTGATTAAAGATTCGGATGCATGTGTATTTATTGATAATTTTAAGAGGAAGTGTGAAGTGAACATGTCATTTTTTTATGAGGTAGACGATTTGTCAAAAATATATTTTTTGGACAGATGATATTTATAGAAAATATTATCCATTATTACTGGATGTGGTTTCGTTCGATACTATCTATGAAACTATAAATATTTAATGATTTTTGCACCATTTACTGGAGTAAACCAACATAGACAAAGTGTCACTTTTGGAGCTGCTTTTTAGCTAATGAGAAAGTTGATTCATTTATTTGGTTTTTTGAAATTTTTTTAGAAGCAATGGATGGAAATATACCAAATCTTATAATAACAGATCAAGATGCGGCCATGAAAATTGCAATATAGAAGATTTTTTAATCTTCTTCACGTAGATTTTGTATGTGGCATATTATGAAAAACGTTTCGGAAAAGGTAGGTGCTTCTTTAAATATCAATGTAGAGGTCATTAATAAATTTAAGTAGTATGTTTGAAGTTCAGAGACACATGGAGAATTTAAAACAACATGGAAATTTATTATTGTTGATTTTGAGTTGCAGAATATTGAATGGCTTTCACATATGTATGGAATTAGATCAGAAAGTGAAAATTCTTTCTAGGGAAATTTTTTGAATACTTCTGTTAGCTTGGTTGAATTTTGGATGAGGTTTGAATTTGCGATAGAAGCACAAAGACATAAAGAGTTATTTGATGATAATGATTCACTTCATTCATTACTAATACTGGAGTTAGATTGTGGTCTAGATAGACATGGTAGAGATGTTTACACTCGTGAGAACTTCTATCTTTTTCAAAAAGAGTTATCGGTTGCATGTCTTGATTGTGGAGTCCAGGATAACAAAAGATTAATGGAACGAAAATATTACACATATTGACAATAGACACCCCTTTTGTGAAGCGAAAGCAAATTGTCGTCTTTACAAACGTTATTGAGAAGTTCAAATATGCAAACCGTAAATCAAAAATTAAGATGGAATGAGAACGATTGAATTAATAACCTTGAATCACTATGTAACTTATTTATTTTTTAATCAATTTTGCTTAACAAGACTATTTCCAATGATAAAATCAAAATAGCTAGTTTAGTCAATTTATCAAACAATTAAGGATAAAAACCTCCTAGCTCGTGGTAAAAATAACAAAAGGGTTTGTTGTGGTTGACTTTAGAAGAAAAAGATATTTCATCATCTTTTATGGAGAAAGCTCAACTAATACCACCACAAGTATGAGAAGATGAATCTTGCATCAACATGAAGGAAAGGCTACTAACTTGGATATAAAGATCAACAAGTTACCACTAACATCTTCATGTGAAAAGAATCACATTTGCTTCAACAATTACTATAGGAATAGGAGAATCATATCTCAACTATGAAGAGAATTTATATCTAATCTCTTTGAGAAAATGTTTTAAATTTAAAAGTCAAGTGACAAAAAGATTGAGTGAGGTTGAATCACTGTTAGTATTTTGAAATTTGTTTTGATATGCTTACGTATATTGAAGAATTTGATTAAAAGGAAAATTTTGAAAATGCAATGACACAAAGTCAAGGTTTTTATATGAAAGTGGTGAAAGTTTAAAAATAAGTTTTAGGGTTGAAAGGTTCTTAGAGTATATGAGAATATATAAGGTAAACATTTACAAGGGTTTTATACAAGTGTAAACACACAAGGGTAAACTTAAGGCAATGCATATGCACATGACTATAAAGTCAACAATACTATCATTTTCCTTGAATTTGGGGCACATGCATTTAATATTAATTACTACCACAAAGGAGAAACACACACATCACAAGTGTTAAACACAAATGAGAAAGTCATCATGCTTATCAAGTAAAAGTTATGACAAGCGATAGAAGAAACAATCAAGTGTCAAAGCAAACAAGCAAGCATAATATGACTTTGGATTAAAAGGAGTTTATGAAGGAAATACATCCTTAAAGACAAGTAAACTTATGAAACATGGACAAACAATCAAGGAGATCAAGGCATGGCAAGCATGTGAAGTTTAAGTCATGTTATCAAAAGTTTGGGGTATGTATGATATATGATCAAGACAAAGTCAAACTTTTAAGCAAGAGTGTTTCAAGTGTTCATTTGATCAACCAAAGAACAAGTATCAAACAAGTACATGTATCACAATCAAGAGGATAGGTCATGGATCATGGATTAGGGCTTCTTGGACAAGTTATGATAAACCATCAAAAAAGTCAAACATAACTCTAATAAAAATCAAATTTTCTCTTGGTATAAATATACACAAGGGATGTGGAATCAAGAAACATTCAATAAAGAAATGGTGTGGTCACTCAATATGGATTTTAGTCAAGTATTTAGTAAAGGAACCAAAGAGAAAGTCTTTAAAAAACAATTAAAAGGGACTAGTTTTGAATTAAATGAAGTGAAATAAATAATATTTTTTAGGATTTTTCTATATTCATAAAAT